GACCAGGTGTAGAAATGCCTGAGCTTTTCTTTGAAAAATCTTCTCTTTATTTTTCCGCATGTGTAATATTAATTTATTCTTCTCCTTCTCCTCCTTTTTTTTTTTTTTTTTCTTCCTTCTGCTCCTGGAACTCCTCTTTCTGCTCTTTAACCCTTTACCAGGTGGTAAGTGCAGTCATTCTAGCGTTTTGCTTTAAAGCACTGGCATTTGACTGGTTTTTTTTCTGTGTTAAAAAAAAAAAAAGAACTTTTTCTGTCTGGATTCCTAAGTGATTGTGCAGTGTCCTTCACTACTTAGCAACCCATTCGCAGCTGATGTGCATCACATGAAATTCTTCTTGTTTAAAGAAACCTCCATAAACTGCAGTGTACCTGGGATTGTGTGACTTGATCTCTCACTCCTTTTTGTTAAAGATGCTGTCATGATACTGCATATCACTTTTCATTTTCTTTCCTTTTTTAATATTGTGTGTGTGTTTCACTGTTTTACTGTGCATTGCGATGGAGTGGGAAATTCCTTTGGTTAGGAAAGAATGTCTCTGTAAAGGGGCAGTTCCCTACAGCCGTGTCTCTAGAATGGGCTAGTTCACCATTCCAGCAGTGACCATCACATACACTGAGCTCAGGTTTAAAAGTAATGAGACTGGCTTTAAAACATGTGAATTGCATGTGGCCACACTGGAGTTTTGCCTTAATGCTGTTGATTTTCTACCACAGGACCACTCAGGCCCTGTGTCCAAACCATCCAGAAAACTTTCTGTCTTTCAAATGAGACACTCTATTTTCATAGAATCACCTGGAGTTGGTGTTTAAAAGCCAGCAGTGACCCACAAAACATTACAAGCATTGTAGTATAATCCGGGTTGTTGCAACTCTCTACCTTGCTCTGCTGGTGCTGTTTGAGCTCCAGGAGATTTTATGACAAAGTAGGTACTCCTCTGCTCCATCTCTGCCCCTTGGAGACAAAGATTTGGGATGTCTCCTTTTCAACCCTCAGTGTTAACCCTCCTTGTTCAGAATTGTTGGCCATAGAAGGACAGTGACAAACCGACACTTATGCATCACCAGCACTCATGGCTGCATTTTGGTACTTTAGCAAAGACTAGCTTCTGGAGTCACACTGTAATGTGACAAGCTTTAGCATTTGTTCAAAAAGCAGGCCAGCAGCTCACATGGCCACTGAGCAAAGCCTGAAATAGGATCCTGGCAGCTCCTAACTCCACGTCCGTTGCTATTGATCTTACAAATCCTGTGATATTCTCCTTAAGCCAAGCGTATGGTTTGGTGTTAGCAGTGCTGCTGTGTTAGTAACAATGGGAGAGCTGAAGAGATGCTGGTGTCACCTGCGGAGTGGCATCAGTCTGCCCAAAGGAGCTTTGCGTGGCCCAGGGGTCATTGGTACCCAAACTTTGCAGGTTTGTTCCCTGCGGTGGTGTGATTTTGTTTCTGCAGCCTAGAACACATCCACTACCAGATCCCTTGGTCCAGTCGGACCAATGACCCTCACTTCATGCTGAAGCATAAATGTGGTTGGCTGGGTTTTTTCCCCTGAAGATGAGTATTTGGGAGAGGTCAAAAGAGCCTGAGTAAAAGCAGGGCCTGCTAGGGGCGTGATGCTCATGCTGGGGAGCTCACAGGAGATGTACTCCACTCATCACTTTGCAGCTGAGATGTTTGATGCCTGGGGCCTCCAGCCCAGAAGCTCAAGTGGTTTAATACCTCACAGAGGGAGTGCTGGGGAGACCACCCCAGATAGCCACCCTTCATGGCCTCTGGTCCCCAGGAACCTGCTTCTCCTCCTGGGGCTTTGACATGGCACCTGCTTTTCCCACTGAGCACCCAGCTCCATACTCACCTGCCCAGCCTCCTAATGCTGGGACTTGGCAACAGCCAAGGAATGCCAGGCTACAGCCCAGAGTCTTCTGGAGGTGGACAGAGGCATCCTGGAACACTTCAGGAGGTGGTCTTCAATCATCTTGGGTGAGTCAGCTCAGCAGCAGATGGCTGACGCCCAGAGGAGACAAGAACTCAACTGTAAACAGGGGAACTACACTGGGTTGAAGCAATGGGATGGCAGGATCAGCCCTGTCTACCCACCACCAGATCAATCTCATCCTCCCTAATTTATTCTTATGCACTATAACCACCGTCATGCACTTTGTCTCTGCACCTTTCCGTTCTCATACACTGTCTGCACCCACCCACCTCTGTCCACCAATTCCCACACTGTCTTTACCCATTCATCTAACTATCCATCCCTTCTCATTTATTTAATCCACTGTTTGCTTTGCTCACTCGCTCTCCGTCCAAGCACGCCATGGTGCTAGCTGATTGTCTGACAGTGATTTCTTATGCTTTGCTGCATGCAAGTGATTTCTCATGCTTTGTCTGGAGCAAGCAAAAATGGGGTGAAGCTCTTTTCTGCCCCGGGGACACATCAGGAAGAGTAGCTATGTGTGGCTGTGAAGCAGCCTTGCTGGCTTGTTCTATTGCTGGTAAGTGACTGATGCCCCACAAAAAAGCAAGAAGTCCCCATCTGTGTGGCTGGCCAGAAATGAAGATGCATCTCCCTACCTAAAAGTCCCAGTTCAGGAAGGGACATAGAACACCTGAACACTGAGCTTTGAGGTGTGCAGGTACATTCCCCTGAAGAATACGTCCACGTGTGATGATCTTGCTGAATCGGCAAGATGGCCTACTGCGTAAGAAGGCACCCCACCGCACTCTGATAGTGCCCCTTTCCAGAGTTGTTCCCGGGATTCCCCGTACTTGCTAAATACTATTGAAGTGTGCAAAAGCTCAGGCAGTCCCTGGTGCTGGTGCAGTTGATAATAAGGCACTTGTGATCACAGAACTGTTTCTTTGCTCTACTTGCTGATCAAGTAAAGCTGCAAAGTCTGTGTCCTGGAGTGTTTTTTTGTTTCTCTATTGAGCTGGTGTTGATTTGGAGGCACTTGCAGGGCTTTGTATTTGAGTGGCTGGCTCCAGCCCCTTTCTCAAAGCAGCAAGCTGAAGTGCTAAGATACTGTTGACTTGAGGTTGTATTGCACCTGAGGCACCCCAGCACCCTGTGCTCAATCCTATTGACAGCCAGCCTGAATCCTGCCCCGACTCTGCAGTGCTTCGACAGCCTTGTCCAACAAGCTGATTCACAGTATTTAGCATCCTTGCTGGAGCTTTCTCGTCACCTCTTCTGGTTGTCAGAGAAAAGAGTATGTTTTCATCCTTCTCAATTGCTCAGCAATTAGCTGCTTTTCCACAGTGTGGCTGCTGTCTCAGTTTGAGCTCGGAGATCTTCTTACAGAAGAGAAAGAGACAGATCACAGAATAAAAAAGAAGCCATCCCCTGGGATTAATATATGTCCTGAACGCAATACCTGAGAAACCCAAAGAAGGGCCTGCAAAGCTGGTAATTTGTGCCGCTTTACCCCACTGTATCCACTCACTTTCTAAAATATATTAGCCTCTGCATTCATTGCTACATCACTGCAACAAGATCTGTGCAGGCAGAAAGACCTGTGCTGTGCACTCTGCTTTCCTGCCTCAAGCCAGGGTAGAAGTCATCACCTTCTCCCTGTGCAAAGTAATTCGGTGCCTCAAGGTCTCAGACAATGTACCTACCTCACCTCCAAACTCCATCCCTCATAGAGGTTCGTTACTGCATTTCTTTATGCACGTTCTCACCTTCCTTCCTTTCTCCATCCACACACCATTGTGCTGCTGGCTTTTTTTTTCTTCTTTTTTTTTTTTTTTTAAATGTAATTCACTGGCCAGAAAATACACAAATCTCCCTTCCCTCTGCTCAAAAAACCTACCACATCTGCTGGTTTCCCTGCAGCTCTTCTGCAGCTTGTGTACCTACAGTGCTCAGAAGAAGTAGCCTCTAGCTATGGGATCTAGTTATGGGCATCAGCCATGGGGCTCTGCTGTGAGAAAGAAAAGGTGGCTGAGCTTCATGTTGTGCCACACCATGTTCCCAAGCACCGCAGATTTGTAATGGTGCTTTATTCCTCTTTGTCCTGATCTCTCAAGGGTGCCAGCTCATCTGGCGCTGGCACCAACAGGAGGCATAATTAAGAGTATCAGAGCGAGCTGCTCAAAGGCAGCGCTGGCTCCCTGTGTAGCCTGGGAGTATGTCTGCAGGCACAGATGGCAGGTGTGTGTGTGGGGGGAACTGTGGGCTAATCCCAAGGCCTCACTCTTTGTTGATGCTTTCACCTGGGGAGAAGCCTCCAGGTCATCTGTTGTGCATGTTTGTGGGCAGGGGTTTCTGGTGTCAGGCTCTTTCAAGAGGTTATTTTCTTGCACAGAGGACACATCTTGCCCTGCAGGGCACCTCCTATATCACCTGCTGCAGCTTCTTGCCCTCTTAGTGATCCAGTGAGGCTCTTCTTCTTCCTCACTGAGTCCCTAAGCCGGGTCCTGGCTCTGCTGTTCTTGGCCATCCTCCCAGGACCTCCTGGATGGCCACCCTGCCGGTACCTTGATGCAAAGCCCACCCAGTGTCAGGATGATGCTGGGGTCCTTGGGACTGCTGGTGGCAGCTCATGCTTTCCTCTCACTAACTCCATTGTCCACTCCATGTGTTATTACCATGGGGTCTATCCTTGGGGACTTCACTCCACACCACACTCCAGGGTGTGAAGGCTGCAATATGACATGGCACTGGAGACACCTGTGTTTCCTTTGTGGTATCATACTCTTTTCTGAACCCTACTATTCCCACTGTCTCCTCCACACATCTGCTCCAGTCCTTTGGAGAGGTAGGATTGCAGGAGGAGGCTTGGAAAAAGGCTGCCTGCCTCCAGTCCCTCGACCCTTGCAGGCTGAGAAAGTGACTCCTCTGGCTATGGTGAGGTGTAAAGGGTTTGGGAAGACAGATGCCACAGACTGATATCAGGGATGCCAGATGGCCTGGCAACATCAGCACCAAGTAGTCTTGGCATTAGTTGGTGATGTGTTCCAAGGTTGCGAGATTCTCCCAGTGTACATGTATTGCCCTCACATGCCACAGCATTCAAGTGCATATGGTACCAGTAGCTGGACCATCTCTCTTTGTAATGGCAATCAAAAATAGCAGTCTCCATGAAGGACGAGTCATTGCCTAATGCTGGCTGTCTCCATATGTTGACACTGCATGCTCACACAATTTCATACACAGCAGATTCGGAGACCCATCCAAGACCCAAGGCAGTCTGACTGCTTGTCTTGAGTTTTGAGACACAGACTCTGTACCAGGACCAACCTGGAGGCCAGAAGTGAAATCACTTAGAAAATTTGGGGCAAGAGCTGGAGAGACTATTTTCAGGTGTTTTATCTCCACCATTAAAAAAGAGGTAATCTGAAATGTTTGGGTGCTGGCATGAGGAAATAAAGCAAAGATGCCAGAAAATCAGAGCAGAAGACCTTTCAGCTTTGAGCTCTTGGGGTAAACCCAGGCTTCACCACTACATATAAAATTGTTCTTTAAAAGACACTGTGAATAAAGTAAAAACTTGCCAGAAGTTTAATGACCTGTTTCTTTGCCTTACAGAATATTGGCAAAAAGATGTCATGTCAACAGTTCATAGCAAACCTGGATGGACTGAATGATGGGAAGGACTTTGCAAAGGATTTGCTGAAGGTAACGTGATATAAGTAGACAGTAGGATACTGTCATTGTTACTGTAGTGCCACCTAGTCCTGCTAGGACACTCTGAGCCCTTGAATCAGCATTTTCCAGTGCACAATTGTTTCATTAGAAGAATTGTAACCCACATGGATAGCTTCTGCTAACTTGGAGTTAGCCACCAGAGCTCTGTTCCCTGGTGGTGTTTTATCCAGATTTGTGACATATCTGCCCTCAGAGCATACCAGGGGTCCCTCTCCCCCATGGTAGCTCTGTGATGTACCAGACAATACGAAGTATAAGGTACCCCCCACCCCCAAATACGACCATACTTTTCTCTGCCTTCACTTCCATGTAATGAGATGTAGTACTCCAACACAACTAGTTCAGTACCATGGGATATTGGTTAAACACCCCAAAGTGAGTATCTTCTCCTTCCACATGGTTTAACACCATCACTGTTACCTGCACCTGCTGCAGGTGCAGCAACCTGACCTGGATTTTGCTGTATGGAACGAGTTTGAAATGACCAGTGCCACATCAAGGGTGTCACATTGTGCTTTAGATGACACCCCTGCCTCCCAGCAGACCTAACACTACCCCAGCCCTCAGTATGGTCAGGGCCACCTCCACATTCTGTTTTCCTAGCCCATTCCTACTTCTTTCCCAGTGCCCCAGGGAAGTCACTGGAATTTTGCACAGGAGGAACTAGAAAAGCTCATCCCCAAGGTCATTCATCCCCTCCAGCCCTGCTTCTCAGGGCAGCGTTCAAGCCTCCACTGTCCCTTTCCCCTAGTCGAGACACTGGAGATGTCTTGGCATACCCCAGCGTCCTCTACCATATTTGCGTAGGCCAGGATTCACTCAGGACTAGGTGTAACATGCAGAATTAGTCAAAAACATCATACACAGGCTCCTGAGTAAGGCTGGCTGCTAGACCCCTCTGTTGCTGATGTGTCCAGACCAATACCATAGCACATACATAGATAAAAAATGGCATAGCAGAACAAAAGTTGTCCTGCTCACTGGTAGATACTTCTCCAGGACAGTTCAGCAAGGATGGTATCTCTCCAAGAACACAGACAGGGTGTGGAGGAGATGGTCTCTAGACATGTCTTCCATGACAGACACAGCTAATACCATGTTCTTGTTTCAGACACTATATAACTCCATCAAGAATGAGAAGCTGGAGTGGGCCATGTAAGTATATGTTACGCATTTGAGAGGTAGTGTGTCTTTCAAAGTAGCTGACAGGTCTTGAGTCATGTTTTTAGCTGCAGAAGCCCCCACAACATTTGCTGCTAAGCCCTTAAGCACTGAAGTCCCTTGTGTAGGCAAGCTGGGTTTATTTATGGCTTAGACACAAAAGCAGATAGGGAGGTTCGTGGCAGTCTGTGGACATAGGGTTCACAGGCATGATCTAAAGGAAGGGAATGCCCTCTTTGTTTACTGTTACATCTAGAAAATGCTGATCCTGCTCCAGGTGCTTCAGAGGTGTTTGCAAAAGGAGCTCGAGACCTGGGGTTATTTTGGTCACCGAGACTTTCCATCTCTTCCACATAGTTTCTTCTGGAAATAGTATCAAAGAATCACTCAGGCAGGAAGGGACTTCGCAAGATCTCCAGTCCATCTTCCTCCTCAAAGTATGGTCAACATTGAATTCAGACCAGGATGCTCAGGGCTTTGTTCAGTTTGATCCTGAAAACCTCCAAGAATAGAGAGCCCACAGCTCCTCTGGATGAACCAATGCTTAAATATTCTGAGAGTGACATATTTTTCGTACCCATTTGAAACCACTGTTGTTTTGACTTATGCCCACTATATCTTGTCCTCCTGCCATGCACCATAGTGAAGAGCCTGGCTTTGTGCCTTCGATAACCTCCTCACGCATATTGGAAGGCTGCCATGAGGTCCCACAAAGCCATCTCTTCTCTAGATTGAACAAGTCCAGTTCCCTTAGTCACTTCTTACAAGTGCTTCAGCCCCCAGGTATCTTGGTGGTCTCTGCTGAACTCTCTCCACCTTGTTGATGCCCTTTCCGGTATCGGGGGCCTAATACTGTTCGCTGTATCAAGACATGATGTAATGAGTGCAGAGTAGAGGAGGGTGATCACTTCTCTCAGCCTCCTCACTGTGCCGCTGTTACACAGCCCAGAATGCTCTTGGCCTCTGTTTCTGCCAGGACATACTGGCTGGCTCCTGTTCGTCCTGCTGTTCCCCAGGAGCCCCAGGGCCTTTTCTGCAGAGCTGCTCCCCAGCCCGTCAGCCCTAGCTGACCCTTCTGCAGGACCGCTCCCCCAGCGCAGTGCTGGGGTGCTGCATTCAGTGAGGCCCCTGTCCCTGTGAGCGGTGGCCCCGTACCTCTCATTTTTACATCATTCACGAACTTGATGAGAAGCACTCTCTCTCCTCCTCCACATCATCATTTGTTACCCTGAAAGAGGTCTGGGAATAGCTAGCATGGTGGCCTCCATTACAGGTTCACACAGGACCTTCCTCAGCCCCTCTTCCCTCGCCCTGCTACCCACCCCCTGCCCAGAGCACAGGCCAGGACCCTCAGCGAGGGGTGCGCTGCGCTCCCTCCCCTCCCCTCCCGTCCCCTTGCCTCCCTTCCCTTCCTCACCCCCTCAGACCTCTCTTGTCTCCAGAGGGTCGTGGGACTGACCAGGACCTTCTGGGCCATTTAGCTCTATCACCTGCTCTTCTCCTTGTACTGTCCTGGCCAGAAAAGTGTCTGGAGATGGTTTAATCCTACCTCCCTCTCCAGCTACCTGCGTCAAGCTTTGCAGAGCAGGAGCCTCCATTGC